TCGGGATCTTATTTAAACTTTCTGCTTTAGTTGCCTTTTTATAATACTGCTCCAACATGAAAACGGGTTGGAGGCAGGGAAGGCACCACTTCGTAACAGCCAAGCAGACCGTGAAGTCCATGTTTCCCAGTTGGCCTCCAGTGACACCCAAGGGAAATTCCTCATTACTCCTGGATGGTAATCCAGACTTCCCACGTGGTTTCCATTGACACTGCAATGGGGACAGGATCCCGACTGTTGGGTAATGATATAAAACTCTAATAGGTCCTTATGATACCACCCAATTGTCAGGGAAATGGCAACTACCTATTTCTAGGTGAGATGGAAGCCTATGCTACTCCAAATGGTGTCCATCAATATGGGAGCCTGGGTCATGATCAGCCAGGAAGGAAGAAATCCCAGATCCCTGTTTTGTTCCTTGTAATTCCACCCTAACTGTAGTTATGGGACACTTGTTGTAGCCTTATATGGATGGAATTCTGAGTTCCCCAGGTAGCTTTTCCTAGAATGGGTGGTGTCATAGTTTTTCTGTGGTATGTGACTAAGATAGAAGAGACACTGTCTAAATGTTTTCTGCCTTCCCAGGCTGCACTTTTCCCGATCCTTTGGCTAGGGAGAACAGCTTCTTTCATGAGCTTTGTTTTCTGGGCCTGCTGATGTTTACAGGTTCCTGTCTCATCCAGAACCCAGTTTGGGATGTCTGAGGCAAAAAGAAAATCCAGAGATCCTACACTGTACCATTCCTAAGGGCTCTAGTAGTATTTCTTCTTTCTCCTCTTTCAGAGTCCTCTTGTATTTGTATTATATATAATATCCAACATTTTTGGATTTACTTAGTGACAGAATTAGGGAAAAGTATGTCAACTTTCTCTTCTCAGAAGCAGAACTCCTCCTCAATTGCATATATTCCCTCATTTGATAGAATGATAGAAGTTGTGTAGGCACAGATTATTTTACTGATAACGTATGCTCAAAACCTCTGACAGTATATATTAGGCACTCGATAAATGTAAACACATGTATTTATAGTTGACTAATTACATTACAGCTTTTGATGAGTAATCAAAAATTTAAGTAGCTCAGTGATAGATGAATAACAGTGCAAGAAGTGACAAATCATGATACAATTGACAAGTTTTTTTAAAAAGATTGCTTTTTGGGCCGGGGATTTAGCTCAGTGGTTCCGCTGCCTGCTTAGCAAGCACAAGGACCTGAGTTCAGTCCCCAGCACCAAAAAAAAAAAAAAAAAAGACTGCTTTTTCAACGTAAATTATAAGAAAGTATGAGGTTTTTTAAAGCTATCAATTTAACTTTGACTAAAACCAACTCTGCTTTGGGAAATTGATCTCCTTTTCTAACTTCTCTTCATTTCCCTGTTTTCCTTCTCTTTTTCTTTCTCTTTTTTCTTCTATCTTGTCTTCCCTCAATGCCCAAAACCAACCTTGTTTTCTCTTTTCCTGAAAATGTTTTTCCTCTCCTATCAAGCATCTTTGTGCAATGCCCACATCCAGAATGGAAAATTGGCATCACTCTTATCTTCAGTGCCCCACCCCCATCCGCTAACCAATTGCTAAGATTTCTTAATTCTGCCAACACATACACATTGTCTACTGTCACTGGTTTGCTTCTTTTTCTCTTCTTTCCAGGATAAGACAAGCTGTAATTAAAATTTTTTAAAGCCTTGAGATTTTACTTGGCCTCAATTTCAATGTGAACCAAACAGGAATCAAAACAAATCAAAGCATAATCTTAAATTCAGAATAATATACGATTTCACTTATGTGAAGCATTTTACACAGTCCTGAGTACCAGGTTTTAAGACAAATCAGTGATAAACCAGAATAGTAACTAAGACTGTGGTAGTTCCAGGTTTTATAAGGAACTAGGAATATCTAACTGGGGAGAGAAAAAAAGAATTGAAGGAAAAGGTTATATAATAGCAATCTTTTTTTCATATTTGAAAAATGTAGCGGCCAAAGATCAAACTACAATAAGATAAGTCAGGTTTACATACATAAGAATTTTCTAACAATTTGAACTGTCCAAAAAAAGTGAGGGACCTCTTTACTAAATTCCTAAAGATCAGAAGTATTAAAACCAAAGGATTTATTTCCACCAGTTAGAAATACTGTTAAGTAAATTCAGTAGGAAACAAAGAACAACAGAGTATTGCTTCCTCATATGTGATTCTTGACACTGTGGTACCCTCAAGTCTTTCTACAGAGCTGTGGGGTGAGGTGGGGGTGGGATGGAGCCACTGCTGAGCAGGCAAAATGCCTAACTTATTCTCTCCAGCTTCAACATAATGTTCCATTTATATATCCAGCTTCTAATGCAGGGGCATTTGTTAAGAAATGTGGGAGTCAAATAAAGAGAAGTAGTATTCCTTAGAATAAAGTTCAAAAATTACTGAACAACCGGATCTAGGGTCTCTTTCATTTTTAGTATTTTGTGATTGATTCCTATCATCTTATTGAAGGATTACTGAAAATAAGATTAACGTCTATGGTTTTAAAATCCTCCTTTTCTTCAATAATGGGCCTTTTAGAGGGAATTAGCTAGGTAATCTTGTCAGTGCTTCACTTTACCTGTGTCAGCACAGTGCATATTATGCACTATTAGAGGGAGATTTGATATTTCTCTGAAAAAATTTAGTATTCAAATCAGATGCCTTTTACTTCAAAAACAAGCAGCAGCTGGAGAAAAAATGAATCTTAAAATCTCATTAAGTTATACATTTTAGATTTGTACTTGTATAAAGAAAAAAATTGAAATTAATTTACATATAACATAATTTTAAATGAACAGTGTACTATCAAAATAATTATATAACTTATCCAAAAGTAAAACAAATGTGTTATGTATTAGAATATTAAAAATGGAAAATAATGTATGAAAATGTCAGACACTTGGGTCTTTAAAGTGTTCATCTCAAAAGTTTATAGAGCATTTCACAGTTCCTATCTGTGCCAATCACAATGACCACAAAAGTCAATTTATAGGAACTTTAAAAAAAAATCATGTTTTGAATTACTGATCTACCTTAAAAAAATCAACACAAACCTTACTGCATCTGCTTTCTTACTGTCTTAATCACGTTAGTAGAAATTTTATGTGTAACTTAACTAGGAACTGTATTTTCATTTAGTATGCCTCCAAAGTAATATTAATAGATTTGACTGTTTAGAAGTAATTCTGAAGGTTCACCATCTATATTTTGGTAAGGTACAACAGAAGATGGCAGTCCAGTGTGTAGATGGAGTCCACCACCATCACAGCAGTCTGGCTGATCTCTCAGTGTAGGAATCTCAGCATGGCCTGCTCTCGCACTGTCGCTCTCTCTCTCTTTCTGGTACTGGGGATCAAACTCAGGACCCTGTGCTTGCCAGGCAGGCACAGTGTCATTGAGCTACATCCCCGGCCCGCCCATTATGTTTTTTCTATTGATAATTTTTTTAATGTGTTTTGTGACAATACTAACTGGTATACTAAACAAAGGGAACTTTCCTTTTTTTTTTGTACCAGTGATTGAACTTAGGACCTTGCACTTGCAAGGCAGGCGGCGGAACCACTGAGCTAAATCCCCGGCCCCTAAGGGAACTTTCTTAAGATAAAATGCTTGTTAACACTAAGATACAATAATACTGACTGTATTCTATGTGGTTTTTGACAGTTATTATTTATAAATTTATGTATAAAAATTTTAAATATGACCATCATACAATACAGTAACCTTGACAATATTTCAAAATGCTTTTCTATTTTTGCTCTTAAGAAAGCATATACATTTTCTTCCAGAAAGTAATGTATTGATGGCAGAAAAGTGAGGAAACATGGGACAACAACATGAGGAAAAACCCCTTGGTAAATGCAAAATAATTAACTTTAACAGCAGAGATTTTAAGGACTCCATTTTAACTGCAAAATGTTGATTTAATTCGTATTTTTTCTCCCACATAAATTTAACCCTTTCTTCTGGGCCCACAGGACTGCTCAAATGATTTCAACATTTCATGAAACCTGGATGATGTCATCCAGAATAGAATTAACTTCCATAATATATTTGAGAAATTCTCATAAATTATATTACCAAAGCAGATTACTATTACAAATTTGAAACTATACCTTTAAGATTGTACATACATAAAAACTTATGTGAAAACATAATGATCAAGTTTTCTCTTAAAAACTAGATAACAGAATTAATGTGATAAAACTTACTAAAATTTATACTATGTAATTCTTGATTTTTATCGACTGCATTTTATTTTTTATTTTTTGTTGCTGTTTTTTGAGACAAGGTCTTGCTACATAGTTCAGGCTGCCCTAGTTCTCTCTATGTAGCCCTGGCTGACCTCAAACTCTTGGTGATCCTCCTGCCACAGCCTCCCAAGTGCTGGGCTTACAGGTGTGTGCCACCATACCCTAGCTCAACTACATTTTAAAGAAATAGAGTTATAATTTTAAAAGTTTGAATTCAGAGAGAATGTAGCTTTCATATTCCCCTCTAAATTTTAAGAGGTTTATATTTATAAATATGTTCACTGATTTAAGAAAACCAAGGTCAAACATCTCTTTTATATACTTCCCTTTTAATCTATTTCCTGCTAAAAATATTTCAAAGATTCCTAATTTAAGAACATACATGCTAATCAAACAACCTTAATGCCTGGAATGCTTCTTATACCCTATCTAGTAAGCTTTGAGATGGGCTATCATTTACTTTAAATATCATTATTCATGGAAAGTGACTTTGTTCTTGTATTCAGCAATGAAATATTCTCAACATTTTTAATGCATTCTAGAAATAACGGTAATCAGATAACAGAGATTCTTTTACAGGGAGACAGGCACAAAGATTAGGCATTGTGATATCAGGTTCATGATTCTCAAGATGCACCGTGACTACTACCTAGATCACACCAGACTGTATGTTTTCTAAAATTTCAAGATTAGAAAGAAAGATTTGAGGAGAATAAATAATACATTAATGTTGTTACCTTTTAGCCGGTGGCTTAGAATCTGTTCTAAAATAGCTGCAAAATTGTTAAATTCAGGAGAAGAATCATCAATTGTCTCAAAGCAAGACCGATCAATCAGGGTCTTCACAGAAAACCTAGGAAAAAAATTATTGTTGCTGTTAGGCAGAGTTAATTCATTTACATAAGTATGAAATACGGGAGGAGGGCAAGTTTGTGAAAGATTAGATTTTATAAGATTATATATTCTGAAAACTATTCAAAATCACTCTGTAAACAGAAAAAAATTACAGAAAAGTTAGGTTTTTAACTTACATATTTGATCTATATATTGTGGTCTTCATGTGTCTTCCTCAAATTTATGTTGATACCTAAACCCCAGCAAAAACGTATTAAGAGTGGGGATGTCTGAGAGGTTCTGAGAGCCCTTTAATTAGTATCTTAGTAGAAGAGACTCAAGGGAGTTTGCCTCTCTGCCATGTAAGGACACTCAGAAGCCACCAATATGCTGTGGAGCCCCTCAGCAGACACTCAATCTGCTGGCACCTTGATCCTGGTGCCTTCAAAACTGTGATCAATATCTGCTGCTTATAAATTATCCAGTATTTTGTTATAGCAGACTCAAGGGACTAAGACATTACCTGTTGACCAAACTATGACTTTGCAATCGTTCTGTCCTCATAGCCATGAAAATCAGAATCAAAATATGACCTAAATTATTAATTCCAAAATACGGAGAAGCCATAGTACTATGGACAGTTCCCAATTTATGATGGTTTGACTCTGTTCTTTCAATTACATGAGCTACTTGACCTTTATAATAAAATGGTCTTTGTGTTACATGATTTTACTCAAATGTATTTTCTTACCATTTTAACATAGACTAGGCTAAGCTACAATGTACAGTAGGTTAGGTGTACTAAGTTCATTTCTGGCTTGGAATATTTTCAACTTAAAATTGTTTTATCAAGACATAGCCTTATTTTGAGTCAAGGAGCATCTGTACTTATATGAAATTTGATGTTTATATTCAAATAAATGCTTTAAGAGTTTCTGAGTACAGAAGAGAATAAAATAGGATATAAGCATGCATGGAGTGTAAATCCAGTTTTTATGAAAACTTGCAAATAAGTACAGGATGTTACATTTTAATTTCTTTGTCTTTTTATTAGTACATGTTTACAGTACATGAAGTTTACAATCCTCTTGAGGAGCATGTACATACATGTACATAATACAGCTTGGTTCTTTGTTTTTAATCCCCTACCCTTTCCCTCTGTCTCCCTCCTTCCTTTCTCTAAATCCCCTTCCCTCATTTTCATTCCCATTGGTATTATTCATCTTATCTCTCATGTTTTGTATTTCTTATTAGAATATACTTGTCTGCCAAAAATCAATGTATTTCCCAAATCTCAACTCAAATGCCATCTCTTTGATGAAAAATTACCCTCTTGCATATTCCTAGAACAAACTGGCATTCTGTATCTCCTTCAAGAGGGCCAGGGATTTAGCTCAGTGGTTCGGCGCCTGCCTCGCAAGCACAAGGTCCCAAGTTCGATCTCCCGTACCAAAAAAAAAGAGAGAGAGATAATTACAATTTAACTTAAAGATGTCATTTGTGTTGCCTGTCTTTGTCTTATCAGAATAGAAATTCCTACGGCCAGAAATAGGTCTTTGTGTGTTGTATCTTTCTCAGCACCTAGGACAATAATGCCTTCAACACTGTATTCAGCAAGTACTTGTTGATGTATTTTAAAGCTCTAATCTTTCAAGAATAGCAAAGAAATGTTTAAACATCAATACCATCAATACCATACCAAAATAAAAGTCTGTGATTTTTAACATGTATAGATTCATATAATCATTGTCAAATGCATGATACAAAGCAGTTTTGTCACCTCAAAAAATTCCATCTTCCTATCCTTTTATATTTGTATCCTACGAAGGACTGCAGATAAGTCCCCACAATAAACAGTGGGGGATGAAGAAAAGGAGATAACTGTGAGAGTTCATAGGTAATTAGACATGAAAATATGAAGAAGACAAACGAATACTAACTCTTTCTTATGTTTTAGGCTTGACAGTTGTACTATTCAATTAGGATAGAAAATTTAAAAGGACAAATTTAAAGGAAAATATACAGAGATTTGTTTATATAGGTTTGTTTATATCTATTAATTACATCTTCAAAATTGAATGGAAAACGTTAAACATAGGCAGTCTTTACTAACACAGTGATATAGGACCCTAAAATTATTATGCAAACTGAATCTATGTAAAATGATCTTAATATTCTGTTAAAAAATTATCCTTGTTTAGTAGCACACATCTGTAATCCTAGCACAATTAGAAGGTGAGGCAGGAAAATTGACAGTTTGCACCTACACTGGGCAGCTTAGTGAGACCCTATCTCAAAATAAAATATTTTAAAAGGGCTAGGGGGGTTAGCTCAGTGTGAAGCCCTGGGTTCAATCTACAATATGGCAAAAAAAAAATCTATGAAAAAAATGCAACTGTTCTGTCATCCTTATAATTTTGTTAAAACATTAAAAATTCTGTAAGTCAATTATAATATACAGGAAAATGAAAAATATTAGAACAGATTAGAACACTGTAATCTAAAACATTAGAAACACTAATGTAAAATGTTTTCTTTGTAAAAGACTTATCAAGAATAGCTTGAATAATGATTATTTTATTCTTCTCTTTGTAAAACCTAAGGCATGAGCATAGTTCTTAGGCCTTGGCAAATTGTCATATGCCTTTGTAAGCCTGGATCAGCTCCCAACATTTTATCCTTTATTCTTTTGCAATGTTGTGAAATATCTCTGAGAGGTCCTTTTTTCTGAAGTGTTTTGCTGGTGTCACTTCCTCTGGGGCATCTTCTTGCTTCCTGTTCCAATTCCTTTCATCATTTATATCAATAAATTAATGTCTGCTAAGTTCTTCTGTCTGAATACTTAGATTCTCTTGAACAGGAGCAATATCAACATTCGTATGATCAATTATTTCTTCTACAATTCCATTTATGTTTGATTCAATTTTTATTTTGAATTATTTCTTTTTTTTCTGACTGTCACCTTTGAAAGCTGGCCAATTCGTTTCTTCAATTAACCAGTTCATAAAACATCATGTGGGTTCATTACCAGAAGACAGAATGCCAATATAATTGTAGGCTTTCTGTGTATATGATAAAATAGATGCATGGCGACCAATCCTACATAGACTTTGAGAGGAGTGAAATGGCTAGTCATTGATCATGAGATACTTCTGTTATATACATACTAATTTGTGAGTTGAAGAGATAGTAGCAAAACACATATTTTATACACCAGTTAATATACAATGGTAATGCAAATTGGAATCATGCTATTGATGGACTGATGTTATTTAACTCAACTGTGGTAATCAGAACATTTGAACCATACATCTAGAACTGCTTATATTTATTAATTATAAACAAAATTAATCTATCATATATTGAATACATTTTATGAAAATATATCTTCCAGAAGAAAAAAATTAGCAAGAAGACCATTTACATGTTATAAATATTGTTAATGTTGTGTTTAATAGATGATAATTACACTATCAGCTTCAGAATTCTATTCTAAAATTGCATGGTGTGTAGCTTCTGGAAAACTCCACTGTACCATTATTAGAGAATGAGAACTTTAAAAAGATAAATAATGTCTTGAAATTGCTAAGTTCATAATTTTGACCTTTCAAATGTCTGAAAAGGTCTGGATCCAGGAGCATACTTGAAGAATGACTACCTGAAGACATCCTTTATATGTCATGAAATAACTCTTCTACTATGCAACTAGAATAGTGTTAATTATACACCACTGTGTATCCTTGAAGAGTTGAGAAAATAGTCACTCAAGTAATTTTTAGTCTTTTTTGGTTCAGATGAATAACCTTCATTGAGAAAGTCTGAGACAGATTAATGTTCAACTATATAGTACTAAGTATCTACAACAGTAACTGGAGCTCAATGGTGAAAGCTAGGAAGTAACAATGATGTCACCTGAGGTCACTTGTACCTGAAGAATTACGAAGCTAGATAAAACACATGAAGAAATGAAAAGAAACAAAAAGAATATAAAGGGAAACCAGATTTTAAGAAGACTTGAAAGTGTCTGTCTTACATGCTCATTTCATTGACAAGAGAAAAATAATGCAGGACCTTGTGCTTGCGAGGAAGGTAGGGCGCCACTGAGTTAACTCCCCGGCCCTGGTTGTTTTGTTGTTTTGAGACAGTGGTGGTGAACCTATAGCACACGTGTTATTTTTCTTTTAAGACAGAAGATGTTAATGTATGAGTTTTTTCTAAACTAAAACCTGTAAAAAGTGTACTTACTAAATATAAATAAAATATAATAAAATAAATATAAATAAAAGTAATTACTAAATATGAAGCATAAATATAATAATCTTATAGAACCGAAAATATGTGTAGATTTTAAAGTTTACTTTACGATAAGGGAGTAAATGGTTCTACCACTATTGGAGGAGTAGTTAAAGTTACAGTTTTCCAAGTGGTAGGGTAATGGAAGGGGCTGAAGATGGAGGGGAAAAAAAAAGTTACAATTTTCATTGGACTATAGTAAGTAAAAGGAAACTTCCAAAAAAATAGAAATTGAACATTTTATACATATATACAGAGAAAAACAGAGATAGAATACAGTGGTACCTCAGTTCACAAGCTTAATTTGTTTTATGATTTGGGGGATGATGGCCGCATTTGTGATTGTCACCCGATGTGGAGTCTGAATGGAAGAAAAATTCTGTTGAACACTTTTGTTTGAGAGGCGAACTGTTTGTGAACAGAAGTATTTGTGAATCGAAGTATTACTGAATATGACTAACCAGTTCACAGAATGAAAGACTGATTAGTGGAATAAATATAATCATAAAACTACTAATGTCTTAGTCACTTTCTTGGAACTGGGGTACAATGCCTGACACCAGCAATTTAAGGAAGGAGAGGTTTGGCTCCTGTTTTTGGTACATAGTTGGCTGGTTCCAAAGTAGGAAGGCATGGAGGCCAGGAAGCAGAGTCAGGGGAGGAGCCAGCAAGGGAGATGTATCTTTCCCATCCATACGCACAGGAACCACCTTTTCCGACCACACC